GGGGGGGAGGAGGGCGTCTCCGGCAGCTGTGCGCCACACTTCTTGTTCGATATCCTGATCATATCTTTGACAGGTTAGAGGTAGAGCCTCATAAATGAAAGTTGTTCGAAACTAACCAACGTAAAGTTCGTCTAAAAAATTAGAAATTAATAAGAGGTGAACCAAACAGAAGGAACCGCTGAAAACGGGCAAAACGCTGTATTGAGTTTGAAACCATTTCTGGCGATTTTTTGATTTGTAGGCTTTGTTTCAGGACTAACCGGTTCAAACGCAAGCAAAACAAGGAAACGTCATGCTTTTACCTAGTTTGTGATTTTTATCTATCTTTTTGGCAACAAGGAAGAAAATAAACAAGTAAACTAATGAAAACAAAAGTTACATAGAGTCAAAATGCACATCAATGTCTACTTGATTTTTGAGGCATCCTTCAAATTTTTATCTTGTTTTCTTGCCTTTTTCTATTTCGTTGACATTGCCTGCGTCACTATGTTTAATCTAATTATGTAAAAACTTCTGGGCTCGAAAAGGTGGTGCTCGCTTCAAAGCGTCATGCAGAAAGACTCTCTTTTCGAAATTTTTTTAACACAAAAAACCGCTAGGAAAAAGTAAGTTCGGCAACGCCAGCGAATAAATGGAAAACGGAGAAACCCAGAGCCAAGTTGCCCCGTAAAGAGCGCGTGGTAACAGTATGCAATATGCAGAGGAGCAGACGAACAGAAGACACAGCAAAGCCGGCGGGGTATTTAATCTTAGTCACAGATCTTCAAGAGCTTTTGACGAAACCCTGGAGCATCATACATCACTACATTACTGATCGTCCTTGACTGAGTGCTCTAACAATCGCCGAGTTTGAAATTCACTCCACGAAGAGATAAAGCCCATTTTCGTGTGCAGCTCTTGCTGTTTAAGGCGCGGTTTCTGCTTTCAGTGAACTCTGTCAATCATTCCGGATTTGCTAAATTCATCTGTAGTGCAATTATAAGCGCATATGATGTGAAAACTTTGGTCAATCAAAAAAATTTCTTATAAACAAATTTCAGCCTGGAAAGAATTATGAAAACATCTGTTGGGCTATTATACCAGGATATTACTCGTTACACTTTCTCCACTCGAACACATTTCGACGTATTTTAACAAGAAGGATTCCGAGCCACAATAGAGTTCAACAAGGAGGTGTAAACCATTAAGGTTCCTTCTGGACGCTGGTAACTTATCTGGTTTCCAAACCTGCGGAACAATTCTGTGAAATGTTAGAGACCATTTGTTCTACTGGTCTTGCCGTGTCTACAGTGTAACCGAGTACGGGTAATGGTGCATCATCGATAGAAATGCTAATAGCGCAGTTGGGAGAGCCTTGACATTAACTATGAGGTGTCGAGTTCTGATCCCGTGGTAGCGCATACAAACAGTTCGTATGATGGTTTTCGAAACATCTTGAAGCAGTGATAATTGACGCATAAATACTCGCGTTTGGTTAAACAGCGCAAAACCTGTACCAGAGTTTTGGATTTAGTGTCCCGAAGAGACTAAACTGTACATCTCTTTGCTAGACGCCAGTAACCGGCATGCTTTTCGTAACCATGGTGTCGAGCTTCGCCCTAGATGTTTTCTCGCTGCAGGTGAAGGTTTTGCTGTCTTGTAAGGCGTTAAACAATGGTCATTATTGTACCTCTAGGTGTCGAAGGTGTGGCACACGTCTTAGCGATAAACTTACATATTTCCAACTGTCAATTTTCAAGGTATGCATGATTAGATCCATATTGGTCACTTGAAAGTCAAGAAACTCCACTTCAAACAGAAAAGGCTCTCCTGCCAAAACGTATATATAGATTTTTCACGGCAGAATCCGCACATGTAAATTTTTCAAACTGTCACTTATAGGGAACCCTTTTACTGTCTAGGCAGCAGCGTCAATGAAATGCTTTGAAAAATTCGCTTACAATCACCTAATACCGCATAATCAAGTGCAGGACAAGTATAATCTGGAAAATAATTAGCACCTTAAAAGTTTTGAAGACTTCATCTCCGTAACAGTGAGGCTCGCATATATTAGCGTATATCAAATGTCGATCACCATGCTTGACTGTCACACGGTAAATAGCCTTCACAATTCTTTCAGCTTCGTCCAGATACGCTTTCCTATGCATCGAACCACCATCTTTTGCTGTCATCATAAAAGCCAATTTCATCGGATTACCTTAAAGATACCTAAATGTTTTGCAAATAAAAATTTCGCTGATGTACAAATACCTGTTGACTTGGAAAATTCGCGCATAACTTTGGATTCATAGTAAGATTGTGCATCCACTGGTGTATATCCCTCTTGTATACTATCACGAAGTACCATGTCTCTCATTCCTATGGTTGTTACGGACAGCATCAACTGCAAAAAATTTTCTCACAGCCAGCCAATACGCGACGCGATAATGACTTGCGCCGCTCTGAAACCATTAGACAAGTGCACCTGACCAAAGGGGAGCCCGATCTGCGATGTATTGGTGGTTCCATAAGTTCGTAGCGTTTTTGTAAACAAACAG